CTTCTCTGGCTAGAGGTGGTGACGGTGGAAAGTGGTGCCACACGGTGCTGCCTTTTACCTCCCCTCCTTCCCACACCCTGTGTCACAGTGATCTTACCCCTTCAATGAAAAGAAATGGACTTAGCTTCCTCCAAAGCCTTTCAGTGCTGCTCCAACAGGTGGCCAGATTTGTTCCCTGGACAATGCTATAACACATGGCATGCTCTCGTCTCCAGGGGCTCAGCACAGAACCACAGACATAAGACATAGATGGCCCCTATTAGATCATCCAGTCCAGCCCCATAACAATTCGGGATTGTTCCAGCCTACTTCCCATGTTTTGTCCAAGCTACTCCTAAGAGTTCCAAATGGTGGGGCATTCCTTGGGAGACTATTCCACAGTCTAACGTATCTCAGCATCAGGATGTATTTCCTGAAAGTCACGCTTATTTTTTTCCTTTCTACAGTTCAGTGCATTACCCCTTCCTTGTATCCCACTGTCCTACACTAAATAATTCCTCCCTCCTTGGTACCTTTTCCATAATTTAACAATAACAATTGCCAACTAATTTCCATAATATCTTGGGATGCACATCCAGATTAACTGATGTATATATGTTCCTATTTCCCTAGTATTTCCCTATCTGCTCCTTAGCAATAGGTATTTATAGGCTCCATTCTAATTGTCTAAATATCTTTACTGTATTTTTGGGTTGTCCCTCATTTCATCCCTCTCCTCAATCACTAATGAACGTACTCTCCCCCCCATCCCCATTACATTTATAAATGCTCATCTTATTTCCCATTATTACTGTGACTGGCTTCATTTTCTTGGTGCCACTATCTTTCCCCGCGAGTCTGAGTCCTCCAGTGTGGTTGCTTCCCTGCTTTTTCAATACTAATATAGGGTTTTAGAAAATCTCAGATGATCATAATGGTCCCCTCTGACCTTAATATCTATGAATCTATGTCTCAGCACCACGTGATGCCACATCAACCAGTATGATTTTTTTCTTCTATTCTTCTTTTCCAGAGAACTTATAGTCTGTTGTACCTTAATCATAACAGGCCTGATTCTCCACTGCCACACACCTTCCATAGCTATTTAGCCCTGTGCAACGTGGGTGTAAAACACTACCAAATCAGAATAACAGCATTTGACATCAATTTTGCAAAGGTGTAAATGAATATACAAGGTGCAAAGCTGTCCAGAAGCAGGCCCAGTGTCTTTTAGCATTCCCCAACTGGTGGATTTTAATACCTTCTTTGGTTGCACCTTAGTCATTGCTTCCACAATACCCACAGCCCAAGCTGAGCCTTAGGTACAGTCCTGAGCTTCAGCCTTTCAGAGTACGCCGAAAGTGGAATAAAGGTCAGCTGACTCAGGCTCATGGGGCTCAGGCTGCGGGGCTAAAAATTGCTGTGTAGTCGTTTGGGCTCAGGCCAGCCATGGGTGTTTAACTGCTGTGTCGACGTACCCTAAGATTGACCCTCCACAATATGGTATTGCAGAGCCACAGCCCACCAGGTGGGGCCAGATAAATTTTCTTGTGATTCCCATCCAAGTGTATGTATTCTAATGATAGCAGCATCAACGTATTAGGTGGGTTCAGGCTGGATAAAGTTTACATCAGAATTTGGTGGTCTCTCACTTATCTGCTGTGTATAGGCAGTTTGCGTCAGTCAATTCTGAATGATATTTAATGTGGGAATTTATGTTGCTAGAGCAGGTGATGGTAAATATTATATTGTACTTGTCAGTGCTTAGTGATAGATTGGCTATGAAAGGAATGGGCACAAAAAGGTTGCTAATATTTTATAAGTGAAATAAAATATCTTTAGCATTTCCTACCCCTTTCCCTAAGCCTTAATGTGCAAAGAGTCTGCTAGGACAGGGCATGGATGCACTGGGATGCACTGTAGAGCCTTTAACCTCACAGGGTACATCTACATGGGGATAAAGGCCCCCAGCACAGCCCTTGCTGGCCCTGGTCAGCTGACTCAGGCTCACAGGACTTGGGCTGAGGGCCTAAACATTACCATGTAGAGGCTTGGGCTCAGAGCCTGAGCTCTGGGGCCCTCCACCCTCTCAAGGTCCCAGAGCATGGGCTCCAGCCTGAGCCCAAATGTCTACACAGCAATTTTTCAGCCCAGAAGCCGTGTGAGTCCAAGTCAGCTGACCCGGGCCAGCTGCGGGTTTTTTATTCCCATGTAGACATACACCCAGTCACCAATCCAAATCCAGCTGTACAGTAGTCAGAGGGCCAAGAATTAAGGCCCTCATTCAGCAAAGCATTTAAGCAGGTGCTTAACTTTAAGCATAGGAATAATATCATTGAAATCAATAGGACAACTCATGTTTAGAATTAGGCCTGTTCTTAAATGCTTAGCAAAACTGGAGCTTAAATGACCATGAATACTCATCCTTTTGCCCTTCTTTACTGTCCTACCCTGAAACTGAGAACTTCAAACTGTCAAGCCAGCACCTTCCCCTTGCACTAAATTCACCTTCATTTTAAAAACAACAAAAAGAGTGGAGTAGCATAATGACAGATGAGCACAATGAGGAGAGATGCAGGCTATGTCTACACTTGAAATACTACAGTCGCAGTTCTCCTTCACTGTAGGTAATCCACAAAGACAGAAGAATTCTTCCATCTACCTAGTGCTGTCTACAGCAGGGCTTAGGTAGATTTAACTATGTCTCTTAGGGGTGTGGATTTTTTATACTCCTGAGAAATGTATCAATGCCAAAGTAATTTTTCAGTGTACACTAGCCTTTCGTCTGATTTCCACTTTGGGCACTAGTTCAATTTACCCTTCAGTCCTTACTACATAAGAAGAAGAAAATTACAGATGAATGTAATAATATGCATCTAATTATTGCATTAAATATACTGTGGTGCAGTACTGTTTGATCTTTACACAGTTTTTCCTGGAGATTTGGTCACAAATATAAGGGAATTTTATGTTACAGAGACATGTAGTTTAGAATTCATTTATTGTCTCGAGTAATTTTTCTTTTTCTTTCTACAAATTATAGACCCAAATCCTACTTGCCCTAGGTAAGATATCTCTTTGCTTTCTATGCATGAATGATATGAGCAGGGTCTGGCCCTGTCATACCTGGAAAGCTGTAAAAACTTGAAATTGTGTTTAAAATGGGTAATTGTCAGTATTGTACTTCTGGTTAATTCAAAGCTAGTTTCATCACTTCTAATCTCTTCTCAGGAAGAGCAACAACAAAGAGTAGATGAAACCCTTAAAAGTTTGGAATGATGTTAAAAAAATACCATGGACAACAGACCTTTAATTGCATGGGATTTCTGAATAACGTTTTAAAATGAAAAACTGTGTGCCTGGTACACAAAGAACTATGTCTCCTTCCCTTTGTGACAGAGGAATCAATGGAATTCATAAAAAGGGGAGGGAGAAAGATGAGAGATAGGAGATGCCTTGTTTAGCACAAGCAGGTCACAAGTCCCTTGAAAGGAAGTTGCTGACTGTATCTCCATATGTACAGTAAAAGCTGTGTTATCTGGCACTTTACCAACTGGAAAGCTCTAGAAACCAGCATTTCTGATATCTCCCAATCCAAATCTTCAGTGGGGTTGCCAGGCTCCCTACCTGGCTCCCCAGAGGCAGGGACATGTCCCTGCTGCTCCTAGGAGGAGGAACAGCCCCGGGGGTGCTGTACGCTGCCCCTGCCCCGAGCGCTGGCTCTGCAACTCCCATTGGCTGGGAACCACAGACAATAGGAGCTGCAGAGGTGGTGCCTACAGGCGGAGGCAGCAAGCAGAGCCGCCTGGCCGCGTCTCTGCTTAGGAGCAACAGGGACACATCGCCGCTTGCGGTAAGCCGCCTGAGGTGAGTGCCGCCTGGATCCGGCACCCCGTATCCCCTCCTGCGCCCCAACCCCCAGCCTGAGCCTCCTCCCACACTCAAACTCCCTCCCTCCATTGGTAAGTATAACTCTTAGTTAATCGGAATTTTTGACTAACCGGCACCCCCCATTCCCCCCCAACATGCCAGATAACAAAGCTTTTCCTGTACCTTTTTGTTCCTTGCCTTGGATTTGCTGATCAGTGACATGCCTCTTTGCCTGGCTCTACCTAGAGTCTGTAGCCTACAGGAATTTGGACAGAGTGGTACAGACATCGCCGATAGAGACGGCGATCACTGACTATTCCTTTAAATGCAGTCCCATGACTTAAACCTTACTCCACCACATATTAAAGAAGGGGACAGAAGTACATACAGAGCTCCAGCTCAGAGGCACAGGACACGGCAAGGCAATTAAATACAGCTAACTGTGAGTAAACATAAGGAGTTGGAGGTGCTCTCTAGAGCAAAGGGCACAGAAGGAGATTTGTGTGAAATCCTAAACTGAAGCAAGAGTAACTTTTTTAAAAATACACATTCGTATAAAATATTCAGAATCTAAAATGGTGTGTAGAAAACTACTGTCTCATTTCAGCAATTTGGAGGGTTGCTTTATTTATTGCTTTTTTAGGAAACATTCTAAATAGTTTTAATCTCATACTACCTCAGACCTGATTAAAAAGATGATTTCCCCCCAACATAAAAATCCAAAGCAGTGACTCTGTCAGCAATCACAGAACTCTTTTGCAAATACAACCCCATTTGCAGTGGAGGTATTCTATGATGGTAGTTAGGAGGGATGCCTTGGCTGCAGATTTTTGCACGCTAAGGCCAAAATTCTCAAGCCTGGTGCTCAGTACCGCCTCCCCCAATGGAAGTCAACCAGTGCTATGGATGTCCAGCACCTTTGAAAATCGATCACTTTTATTTAGGTACCTAACTATGGATGTAGCAGCCGATGGATACAGAGCCTGTAAGCACTCAAGGGTCAAAATTGTAGCTTAATATTTATTAAGGAATCAAAATCAGAATTGAACAGGTAGTTAATATGCTGGACAGCTGCTTTTTACACTATGGAGCATGAATAATTTTTTTGTGGGTGCATATCTGGGTCACATGTATTGTAATGGTCAACCATCAAATGAGAGCTGCTATACTGGCTGTGGTCTTGAGGAAGACTGGAAATTGTTAGCTGGTGAAAGCACATCAGTATCCAAAGATATTGTCCTTATGCATGACACCAATTGGACTGTACCTTGGAAGGTTTGTTACCAGTATTTATTTCCATGGTAAGTCTCAGCTTTATGAGCATGTAAAGCAATAGTTCACATGTCATCCGTCCCTATCATTTTCTGACTGTTCATATTGTTAATTACAGGTGTAATTATCTGTGGGAGATATTCCATAGTTCGCTTTCATGTTGCCTGTTGTCTTCACTGTGCTTGTTCTGTACTCTTGCTTCTTAACCAATGGAAGCTGTGAGCTCTATGATGAGCTAAAGGAGTTGAAAACTGAATTTGACATCAATCTCTACCAGCGATTAGCAGAACCAGAGAACAGAACTAACCTGATAGTTGCACCAGCAAGTGTGTCCATTTCTTTGGGGCTACTGCAGTTTGGAGCTCAAGGAAACACCCTTATGCAGCTGGAAAATGCTCTTGGATACAACATCCACGGTAATGTGCACTTTGACAAATTATTTTTTAGCAATAACTGCTTTGCATTATATCATAAATTCACACTACAACTTCCCTATGGAGAAAGCAACTGCACAATGGAGCTAAACTTCTAATTAACAAGATCTGTAAGAGCTCATACTGCATTGTTTTCCCATATTTGATTGAACTGTAGGAACTGTGTAACCAGCTGATATGTATGTATTCATCCTACTTCTTTCTGAGCAGTGCTCACTCTTTCTACTACACTTTAAAACAAAACAAATGAAGATCTGGAAGGAACATGTAACTCCAGCTAAACTAATGTTGGATTCTCCGGATTTTCTTTCCATTTTAACCAAAGATTAATCCTACCACCTGACACAATATATCCATAGCTATTTTTCATGATCTGTGCACTGGTTATAGAAAACAGATGTCTCATCTTCAAAATTTGTAGCTTATACATACTGGGCCAGCTTTAGAGCTATCAGTATTCTTAAGCATGACATTTATTTTCATCAAATGAAGGCAAAAGTTAAAATTTATAGAGATTGCTGTTGTGTTCTGTAACCTTACTTAGTTATTATTGCCTTTCTGTGAAGCACTGGTACTCAGAAGTAACCGTTCCAGCTCAACCCAGCTATTATATTCAGATAAAACCTATATGTACTATATATTTTCTCTGGTTGTCACACACACACTATCTACAGCACAAATACCCTATCAAACAAAGGTATTAGTTGCAATGATGCCATTTTGCTATAATACAATAAAGTAATTTTTAACCAATTCTCATTTATGGAAGCATTATACCTTGCTCTTTGCCATACATCTTGCCTCTTAGGGACTTAATTATTGAGAGAACTTTAAAAAATGGACTAGATAATGAAATTAAGGCAATAGTCCCATCCATATAAAAATTGACAAACAGCACTGAAGAGATTTTCCACTTATTGGTGAAACCTATTACTTGTTTCAATGCTTTTCTTCCTTCCTTCCGTGCTGTGGATAATATTAACAAAACGGAATATCCCTGAGAAAAGGCTGGCATTTTTTCACCGTTTTAGTTGTACACATCACAAACCACATAGGTTTCTGACTTCATGTAAACTTACTTGTGTTTAATGTGAAAATAAATCAGAATGGCAACAATGACCAATCTGCAACAACAATGAACTTCCAGAAAGAAAGAAAACCGGTTTCCCCAAATGGCATGTTTGGCTAAATCCAGCAGAAATAGATCAAATAAATGTTTTCCTTGAGATGAGTAAAACCAACTCACTGACATACATAGCAGATAGAAAATTGCATTCCTCTATTATACTTTGCGGCTAACATTTTTGTAGCTCTGCCTTTAACTATAATGAGTGATGTGGTACAAAAATGCACCAATCTGGCAAAAACTACACTGATAGCCATCAGTATCCATTGAAAGTTCAATCATTCTTTAGAGAGAATCAACTTTCCCTGGCTTTAATAACCTCTTTTAATGTTCTGCAGCTTTCCTAATATCTGCTCTAGCACGGGCTGTTTGAGCAAAATAATGTCTAAAGATATGTCTGTCTGAATAATAAACATCAAATAAAATATTTGAAAGCAGTTTTAAACTAGCCTACAAGTAAAAATTCAGAACTTTGGTTAGCTAAGATTGTTGGTGTTACTAAGGTTACAAGCGGAGGATACTGCATCTCATATAACATCTGCTTCTTATTTTACCATCTTTGAGTTCTTACATCCACGTAGGAGCTTGCCAAACACTAGCATACTAATGCAAAACACATGAGAAAGGCACTTTACACCTAAAAAAATCTGAATCTTCTTGACATCTGTTCAAGGAGTTCAATATTTTTCCCTTAAAGAGTAACAGAGCTAAGTTTTAACACTAAGCTGTATTAGTCTTCATGCAGGTTATTAAAGGGACACCATTAGGTTAAAAATCATGGATTGGATTCTCAGGTGGTGTAAACTGGCCAATTTGGAATCTGAGAATCTGGCTCCATATACTTAAAATGTCCTAACTGAGATGCAGAAGGCTCCTGTTCACTGGACATAGGTTTGGCAATCAGGAGAATTAGGTTCTATTCCTGATTCTGCTACTAACTTCCTGTGTGATCTGTGGCAAGTCACTTCAGCTCTCTATGCTTGTGTTTCCCCTCCCACTCTTTGTCTTGTCCAATTAGATTGAAGCTCTTTGAGACAGGGATTGTTTATTATGTGTTTGTAGTAGTACCTAGCACAATGGGGCCCTTATTTCCATTGGGTCTCTAGCACTGCTATAACACAATGAAATAATAATAATAATAATAAACACCACCTCTGATAATTAAAACCAGAAGAATATTTTGAAAAATCTACTTTGCTTTTCCCCATTTATGCTGTTTATTTCCTGTTTGGATTTCTCCCCCTTTGAAAAGTGGTAAAAAAGCTAATAATATTCATTTTTGTGTGTAGTTAATTCAAGCCAATCACTATCCCAGTTCTCCTGCACTAGCAAAGTGCTGCTGTGTTTAAGTTGCAAACACTTCAGGGGGATGTTAATCCATTTACAAAATAAAAACCAGCTTCAATTAGAATTTGTTAACAGAGAATTTCATTGACACATTTCCAGTGGTTTTAGATTCTGTAAAAATAAATTTAAGCAAAATCTCTGTATAAAGTCAAATTGGATGCGACAGGGTCCTGCTAAGTGTATTTTAGGTTTATGCAAGTTGATTTTTTGTGTTCAGCCCAAGGGGAAGCTTGTCTCCCAGCATCTCTTCTTTTCTTTATACGGGGTAGGCTGGGTAGCACCACTTCCACAGCATCCTTCTCCTCTACCCCTGACTCCACAGAGGACACTCCACAGGGTGTTGGGCTGTTGTATGGGGCAGGGGAAGGTTGGGAACAACATCATCCACCCTTAACTCCATGGAGAAATCAGTGCAGCCCAAGGCCTGCTCCATGTTGCAGTGGACACCCTCCCCCTTTCAGAAGGGATTCTGGAAACAGCTGTGGACATAGGAAGCATTGGCACCAGGTCTCCATTTGAGGGGAGAGCAGGAAGCCCCAGAGCCAATGTAGAGGCAAAGGGGTTCTTTAATGCCAGTGCTGTGCTTCCAGCACAGTCCCAAAATCAGAGATTTAAGGGCATCAAGCATATGTGTGCGTCCCCTCAACAGAATGATTTAGAGAAAATTCCAGAAGGGGAAGCTCCAGAGTTTTCCCTCCCCCAGCATTCCTCTTGCAGATCAAATGAATCTTAGTGGATTGTATTTTAATGCTACTAACATCACCCTAATTCTTACATGGTGCTTTTAGATTAATTTAGATGCAAAGCATTATTGGATTTTAAAACTTCAAAAACTTCATGATGACCAAACCAAAACCAAGAATGTATAAAAGAAGGGTTACTTATTGATAACTGTTGTTCTTCAAGAGTTGCCTCTATGCCTTCACATTTATGGTCTCTAGGGCCTCTAGTCGAGCTCCAGAACTGTACAATAAAGCCATGTCCACTGGTGGTGCAGTAGCGTGCTCCTATTAGGATGACATCATCGGCTCCATCTATAAAAGGAAGTGCACCTCCGCGACAGCCTTAGTTTCTTCTCCCTAGCCTGCAGAGTCCGGAAATACAAAGAACGCTGAGACAAAGGGGAGGGTGGGTTGGTAGTATGACTGCACAGAGGCAACTCTTAAAGAGCAGCAGTTACTAACTTTCTTCTTTGAGAGCCTCTGAATTCCCATGAATGGGGGTTTAGCAAGGGGTGCCACCATCAGAGGACAGCAGGCAAGGGGTTCAAGGAAAAAGCAGACTGCAGCACTGCCTTACTAAAACAAGCATTGCCGCGGGATGCCAAGTCCAACAAGTAGTGCTTAGTGAAAGTGTGTCAGAATTACATGTAGCTGCTTTGTAAATCTCTACAATAGGAACCTAGCTCAGAAAAGCTACAGCAGCAACTGTGGCCCTAGTAGAGTGTGTCTTTAAGCCAAGAGATACTGGTTTTCTGGCGAAGTAGTAACAACCTTCAATACATCTCTTAATCAAGTGGGGAAGAGCTTGTTACTAATAGGCTCCTCCTTATACCTCTCCCCATAGGCAACAAATAATCTGTCTGATCTTCCAAAGGGCTTAGTCCCACACAGGTAATAGTAGAGATAGATGCAGACAGAGACCTGTGCTGTTAAGTATAAATATCTTTTGGCATCTAAGACTCCTCTGGGTGAGCATGGTTCTTCCACTTGTCTGGGGAAGAAAAGGAGGAGGGAAACATACTGCAACAGGTGAAAATCTGAGAACACCTCAGGCATAAAGCTGAGGCGAGGTCTCAAAATGACCTTTTCTTTGGGTACTACTGTGTAGAGTTGAGGCCATTAAGGTACTGGGCTTGCTAACCCTCCTAGCAGAGGTAATGGCTTTGAAAAATACCATTTTGATAAACAGGTATTCTAAGGAGGTTTGGGACAGGGACTTTTAGGGTGGACCCATCAATATCATTAAGACTAAGTTCAAATCCCAGGATTGGGAAGACCCTCTAGTAGTAGGAAAGGCATTAGCCATTCCCTTACAAATCATGGAGACTGGAGTGAGAGAATAAAGGTTTGTGTAACAAAATTATGACAGGAAGAAATCACTGCTAAATGATCCTTCAGGGAAGCTACTGCTAGACCTTGTGATTATAAATGCAAGAGAAACTCTAAAATTGCAGGGACTCCCACCCAGGACGGGATTAACCCTTTACTTTTGGCTCAGCACATAAACTGTGTCCATGTTAGTCTAACACTTCAAGGTGGCGCTCTTTCTGGACTACAACAGTACTGCTTGAACTCGCTGTGAACATCCATCCCAGGCTAGATAATGGAGCAGCAGCTATGGGACTTGATTAATAAAGAACAAAAGGAGGGTAATATAATTAATGCCAATCAGAATGGGTTTATGGGGGAAAATATATTTTGTCAAACTAATGGCATAATTTTTGAAGAGATAGTAAGTTTGGCGGATACATATTTAGAGTAAGGCATTTGACATGGTACTGCATGACATTTTTATTAAAAGACTACAATAATATAAAATTAACATGGCACATATTAAATGGATTAAAACCTGGCTAACTGCTAGGTCTCAAAATGTAAATGTAATCAGGGAATCATCACTGAGCAGATGTGTTACCATTGGGGGCCCCACAGAGATTGATTCTTGGCCCTACATTATTTGATATTTTTATCAATGATGCGGAAGAAAACAAAGTTTGCGTTGATAAAGTTTGCAATTACACAAAAATTGGGGGAGGACAGAACACCGATACAGAGGAATCTGGCTTACTTGGTAAGAAGGGCACAAGCAAACAATGTAAGTTTTAATATAGCTAAATGTAAATGCATATATCTGCAAAGACTGTCAGCTGTGCTTACAAGGTGGGGGCCTCCATCCTCGAAAGCAGTGACACTCTATAAATACATCAGAGGAATAAATACCAGGGGGGGAGAGAGGAGTTATTTAAATTAAGCGCCAATGTTGACACAAGAATAAATGGATCTAACAAGTTTAGGCTTGAAATTAGATAATGATTTCCAAATACCGGAAGAATGAAGCTCTGCAACAGCCTTCCAAAGGGAGCAGTGGGGGCAAAAAACCAAACTGGCTTCAAGACTGAGCTTGATAAGTTTATGGAGTGAATGGTATGATGAGACTGCCTACAATGGCATGTAGCCAATCTGTGACTGCTATTGGCAAATATTTCCAATGGCTGGCGATGGGACACTAGATGGGGAGGGCTCTGAGCTACTCCAAAGAATTCTTTCCCAGGTGTCTGGCTGGTGGGTCTTGTCCACATGCCCAGGCTCTGATAGTCATACTTGGGGTCAGGAAAGAATTTTCCCCCAGGTCAGAACGGGAGAGACCCAGTGAAGTTTTCGCCTTCCTCTGACGCATGGGGCACAGGTCACTTGCAAGTTTAAACTAGTGTAAATGGTGGATTCTCTGTAACTTGAAATCTTTAAATCATGATTTGAGGACTTCAGTAACTCAGCCACAGGTTATGGGTCTATCACAGGAGTGGGTAGATGAGGTTCTGTGGCCTGCAATGTGCAGGAAGTCAGATTAGAGGATCACCATGGTCCCTTCTGGCCTTACAGTATATGAGGCTCTGAAAAAGAATTGTGGGTTGTGGTGGATAAACCACTGAACATGAGCTCCCAGTGCAAAGGCCAAAAGGGCTGACAGAAGAACTAACAATAAAAAGAGAGAGTTCCGTTTAGGTCTCTGGCAGCAGAGAAGGAACTGAGATGGACAAGGGATGCAGGGTCTTATACAGATGGAGACAAAGATGTCATGCTAGCACAAGTACTACTGCATTTCCCCTCCTCTCCTCCCCCAAGCGGCAACAGCTGTGTTATACAGTCCGGCAGCTCAACTCTTGCAGCAGCAGAAGATATAAGTGGGGATGCACAGAGGCCCCCGAAGAAGAGGAGTATTTTTTTTAAAACAAGAGCAAATAGAAAAGTCAGATAGACTGTTATGTAAGGTCAACTACTTAGTGTAGCAACAGTATAGCAATTTCTAAGGTAATGTCTATCCTACAGCTGCAAGTAGTAACGCTACAGAGCTTGGGTTAAATACACAGAGAGGCTTATTTTCTCTGAATTTAATCAGTGTTTTGAATTCTCTTCAACTTCCTGTGAAAAAGATGGGCAGTTACCTGAACAGCCATGGCACCTGCAGGTATACAGAGATTAGATCTGTAGCTACAGTGATTCTTGCTCACATGCACAGAATGGAAATAGCCAAATTTAACTTAGGAAGGAATTTTTCCACCAGGGCATATTGGAAGGTACCTCTTAGGCTTTCTTCACTTTCCTCTGGAGCAGTGTCCATCCATTAGAATTAAGTGATCATGTCCAAACAGTCATTTTCCTGTGACTGCAGCAAGGGAGGAGCTAACATTGGTGGACCTTTGTTCTTTCTATTAATGTCATCTGTGTTTTTGCTACAAAAAGCTCTTGGTATATACAACGTATTGCAGGGTATCCCTAGGCAATAGTCTCCGCCTCACTAATAGTTTCACATACTTGAATTTTGAATTATTTTATGTCCTTGTAGCATCCAGAGGGCCCAATCAGCTTTATGTTAAGTGCTGTTGCAATCACATAGGTCCGTTGCTATTTGTTAAGTGCTGACAATTTTCTTGGCAATGAATTATCATTAACACTTCATTTTTGCTATTGTTAAGTTCAACATGAGAATTACAGCATTGATTTTTCTCCTGTCTGGCAGAACCAAAAGTGCAGGACTTCTTGCATACCGGATATGAAGAAGTGACCAACTCTAGCCAAGGCCCTGTGGTTCAGTTGGCATGTGCCCTATTTGTGCAAGCTGGAGTTCACCTGTCTCCTGACTTCATTGAGCATACTGCACTCTGGGCAAACAGCAGTCTCCAAAAAATCAACTTCAGTGAGCCTAACAGCACTGCTGCACAGATAAATGAATGGGTTACCAGTACCACTGAAGGTAAAATAACTAATAGAGATGATTATGTAGGCCCCAGCTGTAATAATAAAAACTATACAGATACCAGCAGTTAGCACTCTAGCATTTAACCAAACGTAATAACGTTTAGTACTATGCTCTATACAGAAAGGCATAGTTTAGCAGTCTTGAACACAAGACTGGGAACCAGGAACGCCTGTGCTCTAATCACAACTCCAATACTGCCTCACAGCATAACCTTGGGCAAGACTGCAGTAATTCTAGGTACCTAAATAAAGGATTACAGGATCAAGCCCTTAACCAGTCTGCCTTAGTCCCTTGCTTTGTAAAATGGGAATAATATCATCGACATAGCAGGGATGTTCTAAGAACAATTAGCTAGAACCAAATTCTCCCAGCTATCATGGAGTGTAGTATTCACCACAGTGAATACTTCCAGTAAACTCAGTAGTAGGTGTTTACAGTATTGACCCATTCGTTTGTACAGTGAAAACAGAAGATGATATTAGTGAACTTTATTCCTTTACATGACCAGGAAGTTTAATGAAACTAAATCCAATCTTAATGAAAAATATACTGTAAGCCATTAGAATTACTGGGCCAAATTAATCACTGGTTCATGCCACTGATTTTGCATGAGCTATACTAGGGATGAATTTGGCCATCAACTTGATTAGCAGGTAACTAATGTGATTTTAAACATGCATGTTGAAATTGATACTAGCTGCTCTTGAAAAGTCTCCTCTATCTTCCTCAACAGAACTATAATTGGACTTTATGACAGAAACTGATTGCTCCAGGAAACATTGTTGACAATGTCAGCTCGCACTTTGATAAAATTTTCCTATATTTTTTGACACTGCCAATGGCTTTCATGGTAGGGAGGTGAATAAAATGGCATGATCAGTTAGAAAACTTCACACTAGAGCCTTTATTTCATGGCAAAGGGGACATAACCTGCCCAAGGCCTGTTTTCTATCATTGACACTACCAGACTCTCTGGGCATAATTTCACGTTCAACTTCTTGCACATAGATTTAGTCACACTTTTTTCATTACTGCTAGAAGCAGTTATGCAGTCATTTAAGACTCTGAACATTTACCCTTCTTAGAGATTTTAAGGTCAGAAGGGACCACCATGACCATCTAGTCTGACCTCCTGCACATTGCAGGACACAGAATCTCACCTACCACCCCTGTAATAGACCTATAACCTGTAGCTGAGGTACTGAAGTCCTCAAATCTTGACTTAAAGATTTCAAGTTACACAGACTCCAACATTTATTCTAGTTCAAACCAGCAAGTGACCCATGCCCCAAGCTGCAGACGAAGGTGAAAAACCTCCTATGTCTCTGCCAGTCTGACCCGGGAGAAAATTCCTTTCTGACCCCAAATGTGGCAATCATTTCATCTTCTTCTAAGTAGAGCAGAAGACTTACTTTAAATATACTTTCTAACATAGAAAGTAAAGATAGCAACAGTGTTTTAACTATGAAACTTGTTGAGTAAGAGAGCATTTGCCATACCAGAGTAAGCCAATGATTGACATACTTTCATCTCTTTAAAAACATGTATGTGATAACTAATGTTGAATGTAGTGAATGCCAAGAAAAAGTAAGGGATATACTAATTTTCTGAGCTCAAATATGAACAAAAGTATGAAACTGATGTCAGCCTGACCCAATTTGTTGGAGGTAGAATGCTCACCTCTGTGACTTGGCCACTTTTGTAGCACATCAGGATAAAAGGGTTCAGAAGAGTTAAAAAGAAATCTGATAATTTGGCCCTATGTATGTCACTTAAAAAACGAGAGAGAGAAAGAGATATGCAGGATTCCCTCTGCAACGTGTGTGTGTGTGTGAGACAGAGAGAGAGAGAGAGAGAGAAAATATAATTCATCTTCTCCTTTTCTTATGCAGGTGGAGAAGCAGACTGCATACATCTGGATACAGCTGGTTCACCACTTACCCAGATGGCTGTGGTGAGCACCATGTACTTCAAAAGCATGTGGCAAAAGAAATTCTCTTTCACAGATACTCAGTCCTTGCCTTTTACCACTGCAGAGGGCATCACCCTGAAAGTGCCCACAATGTACCACACGGCTGAGGTCAATTATGGTAACTACTTTTCATGCTATGTCTGACATATGAAACAATATTGTAAACTACATACATTTTAAATTTATTTACTTCCAGCACTGCCTACAATGTGCTAGATACTGCACAAACATGGAGGAGAGCGCTTTGGAAAAACGCCAAAATATAATAGCTCAGAAATAGACCTTTTCTCTGACTTATAAAACCTGTGTTATGCTTCTATCCAAACTTCACCTGAGGTAGATACTGTAGTTTAACAATGATTGAAGGTGAAAGCAGGAGCGAGTAATGCCCTACAGTAGCACAGGCTTGAACATGAGATCTTGTTTTAGATCTCAGACCTGCCCTCGCTGAAGTAAATGGCAAAACTCCTGATGACTTCAGTGGGAGCAGGATTGGACTCCCATTGAGAGACAGAATGTTGAGCAAAACACTGGGATTTTTCCCTGCTCAATCTGAAAAGTGTGGGATCTCTTCGCCTGGAGAGTCGTTTGAGGACGACAGAAAGGAGAGTTGATATTTTAACATCTCATGGATAGAAAAGTGTCATTAACAGTGCAGCACCCTCTCTTGTGCATATTGCCAAGGCTACACTGGGTCAGAATCTAAATCCTACTGCTGTCCTAGAACCCATGATTTTCAGAACTAATGAGCACTACCAACTAAACCTTACTGACATTTTGTAATGATATGCAGCCAATTACTTATATAGACATTATAGTTTCACACCAGTATTTGAGAGACTGCAAATAAAACTGATGATCGAGTCAAAAAACCCCAAACACCTCTACTCTTAAAGCATCAGCTGCTATATCTAACTCCTTCTCTGTGTTGAGCACTGCAGGAGTTGTTCTTGGACATGCCATTATTCCATTGGAACACTGCCTCCTTAAAGGGAGTTTAGCAGGGCTGTGATGTTACACTGCAAAAAGTTTTATATGCATTTATGTGACACAGCCAGCAACTAGTTAATATTAATGACACCTAAATTAATGGATGCTGTACCCTGTTCCCTAACCAATTATTCATTTGAAGGTCCATTAAGTTGTATCCTCTTTTGAGGTTATAGGTTTAAAGATTTTTGTCTGAATTTGACAGCTTCTAAATGCTTTGTAGTTCAATAAAGCTATGCGCTTCTTGAAAGCAGCTTAACCTGTGCTATTGATTTGGGTGTATGGATGAGAGTATTGGGCAAAGTACTTCTCAATGAGTCAAACAGGAACTGCTTTTTCTTTTTTCCTAGTAAGTGTAGTTCTGCTGAAAAGTGCTACATTGAAAGAGCTGGAGAATGAAGTCATCTATGTATTCAGAAAGAGCTGTCATAAGACCAGTCACATTGTAAACTCACCCATTCTCATCCAAGTTCCTCAGCTCTGACCCAAAGGGAGTACCATGAGCAGACAGCTAAATCACATGCTTCACTGGGCTGGGCCACTGAGACAGCCACAAAGGATGTCAGTTATCGTTCTTTGTGTTAGCAAATGTGTGATGTGGACACTTGTCTGCTCGGAAGTGAATTAAGACCATTAACTCATTTCACATGAGCCAGTGACCTTCATTTATTAACTACCTGGTCCACATTCAAGCCAGTGACTTAGTGGTGAAAGGCTCTGTATCCTCGTACTAGTGCCTTGAGCTACCTAAAGTTCCTCAGAACTGCTTTTTCCCTTGAGTGATGCCAAGGATTATGTTTTCAAACCTGTAGGTCAGTTCCATACCACATCGCTGGAGCGTTTCAGTGTAGCAGAGTTGCCTTATCTGGGGGAGAGAGTCAGTATGTTTGTGGTGCTTCCCAGTGACAGGACGACATCTCTGTCCCAGATTGAGTCACACCTCTCAGCTAAAATCATCACTGTTTGGGCCAACAGCTTAAAGAGAATGAAGATGGATATTTTTCTACCTAGGTAAGTGACACTCTCCTTCTCGAGGGCCTGGCCATCCTCTAACCATACATATCTTTTATTGTCAGAGTTGTGTTGTGTACGTCATTGTTGGCATAACCAATGACATATAGGACACCTGTCCTTTTAGTAGGACACTTTCAACTCTAGTCTCCTGATCACATGATCAGCAAAGCAAAGCACCCTCTCTCCCTTCTTTAGCCAGGAGAGGTGGTCTCGGGAATGCCAAATACTATATGTATCTTATAGACCAGGGGTTCTCAAACTTCATTGTTCCACGACCCCCTTCTGACAACAAAAATTACTACATAACCCCAGGAGGGGGGACCGAAGCCTGAGCCCGCCCGAGCCTGCTCCCCTGGGTGGGAGTAGGAGGGGCAAAGCCAAAGTCTGCGCCCCTCCACCCTGGGTGGGGAGACCAAAGCCGAAGCCCCAGGGCTTCAGCCCCAGACGGGATGCCTCTAACCTGAGCCCCACCACCCAGGGCTGAAGTCCTTTGGGCTTTGCCCCTAAGCCCCAGCAAGCCTAACACCAACCCTGGTGACCTCATTAAAAAGGGTTTGCAAACCACTTTGGGTAGTTTGAGAACAGCTTTATGTACTATAACTGAACCATTATTTAAAAAACAACCTGAATTTGATTCTACAAGTCCTATTTATATGTAAGAAGTTTATTTGGGGTACAATAACGCTTTAAAAATGTACAAAGGGAAGAAAATTATTTGTGCCCATTCTTGCTTTTTTGCTTCGTAAAGAAAACTTCTAAAAAGAGTTGTTTAAATATTTTAACATACTTTACAATGTATTTTTAATATTAGCGATATTAAATGGAGCTCCAGCAACTCTCACCAATCACTGCATTTCTTCTGTGTACAGGGCAAGTGCACACTCTCCATCACTCCAGCCCTTCACTATTGCCAAAATTTGCACATGACCCCACAGCATTTTTCAAACAAATAGAATGATAGGATGTACCATCTGGGTGCAAAAGAGGGAGGGCGTTTCCTGGATGTACTTAGCACATCAATCAGCACAGAAAAACTTTATTACATACCTCCAGAAATACATTCCCCATGCTAATGAAACACTGAAAAATATTTTGTGCATTAATGTTCTTTTTCCCAGCTGATGTTTTGCAGATGCATTCCTACCTACAACCAAATTTATGACAATTTTTTAAAAAAGAAAGCACAAATGGGGCAAATGCAAAATTCACATATATATTTAAATGAAATCTACTGTGTTCATTTTAGATTCAGAATTCAAAGTCACTTTGACTTAAAAATGGTTTTACCTGCCTTGGGAATTACAGACATGTTTGATACAACTGAGGCTGATTTTAAAGGTATTTCAGGTAAGATTATTCCCTATATAGGAAATGATCACTCAGTGTGTAGATGTATTGTAGATTTACATGATATTTGTTTGACTGATTCTAGAGAGCCGATCCTTCTGTATTAATTAATTAATTACTTCTGGCTCCAAGAAAATTAAAAACACAATCCAGATTCTATTTAACTACTGTAGAATTGAAATTTCTTTCAAACTACTGCATTTTAGGTTAAGCAAAATTTGGTGGTGGGGAAAGATTTTTAGAGATTAAAGCCAGTGAGACAGAACACTGCTGGAATGTGTTTGCTTAGGTGCTGGCTGAAGTCTACAAGGATCACTGCAGATCAAGCATTTATTACTGGTTCTAAATAGCCATTCCATAGTCAGTGACATTGGTGTAACAACCACAGGCCTCTTTATTCTGAGTCCCGACGTCACGCAAACAACCTTTACACATGCCTGTAATCTCCCTTTGTTTCTGTTCCGCAAGCCAACAATCAACATCATAATACCCAGCCCACAATATCCCATGACCACATGTTGTTAAGATAGAAACTGACTAACTACCATGTCTCAAAAAACCTGATGTTATTCTACTCACTAGAAAGTTTTATCCTGATTTAATATTAAAAGACTCTGTAACTGTCCATGTGCTTTGACTAACACATATCACTTCCAGCAAGGTAAACAATTCCAATTTGGGCACTTGCATTCAAAGACTCTTAAATGGAGATTTTATGGTGAGACTCTCAGCCTTTCTAATATGATTCTCGTCAGTGTGTGATTGTCATTAAATGGAGGCATAGCCAAAAGAACATCTTCTAGTACAGTGGAAAATGCTTTAGAGGATGTTCCTGATGGAAGTTTGCTTCTCCCAGGGGACAAAGCTCAGGGCAAAGATTTTGTTTTCTACCCCCTATTAAATTTGAGTATGTGTTCATTATAATATGATCACTAATTGCACAGAATGCCTTGTTAATTAGAAATGAGGTGTTAATATGCTGACTAAAATTCACTGATGGTTCACATTATAAATATGTACAACAGCTATTTAGATAGGATGAGTGCTTAAGGAGGATGAAATACAATGGATCAAAGCATACTGGGGAGCTTCTTCTGTACTGTTTATGACTTATTCCCATTGTGCTTTTTGATTAAGACAAATTTGAGTGGCACTTCTCCTCAAATTTTACCTATTATTTAAGGGTGTCTATTTTCCCTGGTTTCAGAGTAGCAGCCGTGTTAATCTGTATTCGCAAAAAGAAAAGGAGTACTTGTGGCACCTTAGAGACTAACAAACTTATTTGAGCATAAGCTTTCATGAGCCACAGCTCACTTCATCGGATGCAAATGCATCCGATGAAGTGAGCTGTGGCTCACAAAAGCTTATGCTCAAATAAGTTTGTTAGTCTCTAAGGTGCCACAAGTCCTCCTTTTCTTTTCCCTGTCCTTCCCTTCCCCCCACTCCCCACCTCTCTGGTATAATTCTGAGTTGACCCACAGGCTCAGGCACAAAGGAGAAAAGCAGTGCAACTGACTATTACCCATAATAATAAATATTGAATAGGGGAACTACTGTTGGGGTTTTATAGAACTATCCTCAGCAATCTTACAAAGTGTCACTTTTCTCAGAGTTCTATTTTGTTTTACCAGTGATTCTTCCTGCTCAACATGTTTTTGTGGGAGTTTCTTTGGATCGCTTAGTTGACCCAACATTAGTTCGTTGTTCCCAATACACTCGGTAGTTGCCATTCATACCGAGAAATCTTACTGATTACTAGAATTAGTGAAAGAACAATCAAACCACTGGTTGGTCACTTACCAATAGAACTCAGCATTTAATTCAGCGTTATTAATCATGTTTATTACAGTATTGCCTAAGGACTGACCAAGAATGGGGCCTATTGTGCCAGATGCTGTATAAACACTGAGTAGCAGTGTCCATGCCCTGAAGACCTTAAAGTCTAACTGGACAAGACAGACACAGGGTGGGGGAGCGGGTAGAATATACAAGCAGAGTGAACAATGTGATTGTCAAAAACAGTACTTAGTTCCACTGTTTTTTGGTGGGGAGGGAGAAGAGGGTTAGTTAGGAAGGGATAAGCTAAGTGGAAAGAAAAGTGAAGGGAAAGGGTACTTTGAAGGGAAGGTAGATGAAGGGGATAGGGCAGGAGAGAAAGGAGTAAGAGGGGCAGGCGTGAAGTGAGGGATGGGTAGGAGGAGGATTAGAGCAAACAGCCATTGAGCACTGGGCAGAGAAAGTCCAGTCAAACCTGTAGAAAGTTTGGCGAATGTCTGAAGGTCCCTGCAGTGGCTGTTCCTGCTTCTGCCAGCTGGACTCTCTGGATGGTTCCTCTCTGAAGTTTTAACCAGGTGCTGTCTACATGGTGGGTACATGAAGATGAAAGAACAGGAAGGAAGCAAACAGACTGAATGCTATCTTATTCCTTAAACTTCATCCCATGCTTTTAAGATGCATTGCAGTGCAGTTCCTCTCTAGGAAGACAGTGGGCCTGATTCCCATTACCTTGCACGTACGCAAAATGATTATTCAGAGAATAGGGGCCAGATTCAGATCTGTTATATCAGTATAACTTTGTGGAAACTCCATTCATTACACATCTCTGGAGTTACTCCAGATTTACACACTGACAGGATTTGGCCCAATAACTTTAAAAAAACATTCTTAAAATTGATGACCAGACAATAGTAGGTTGGTTGCATCTTTCAGCTAATACTAGATGTCAAAAAGTTCTCTGTGTGAATGATACAAGAAAGGTTAAGTGAGTTGTTCAAGGTCACACAGCATACCATTGGCAGACAGGGGGACAGAAATCAGTCTTCTATTCTTACTAGCTTTCTGATGTTCTTACTAGCAGTTAGTTCTCTATAAGGTAGGCAGATAACTTTTAGACTAGGTTCTCCTCCGTAGTTGCTACTAAAGTGAAAAAAAAATTCTTTAGCAATCATGACAATGAAATTTTCCTGCAGATGTTCTCTCTTAATTGTTGTACAGAGACATATTTTGGTTCTATTTGGTTTTAAATCAATTTTGATGTGCTTATTTATACATGGTAAAATAGCTTGATGCAGATGATACAGCAACAGAATTGCAGCACAGCCCTAACCAGACCTAGAGTTTTATGTGGAACTTCTGCCCTATGGTCATGTGTTACTTGACCTATACTTAAGTTAAATAAGGATATAATCTTTTTATAGCTATTGCACTTTCACGTTTTGACAACCACAAACGTTTAGAACTGTCCAATCAATGAGCTGTCTGTGGAGATACAGGCTTTATCAGCTATTCAGCGTTTGTAATACTGGTGAGGCTGCTGAAAAACACTATATGGATCAATTCACCTTTAATAACGTTCACAGATTGTAAACCCAGGAGAGACCATTAGATTATCTAGTCTAACCTTCTGTGTATCACAGGCCATATAAATTCACCTCATTACTCTGGCACTGAGCCAATAACTTGTCTTTGAGTATGAAGAATGTGTTTCAAACAGTAATAAATACAGTAGAACCTCAGGGTTCTGAACACCAGAGTTACGAACTGAGCAGTCAACCACACACCTCATTTGGAACCGGAAGTAGGCAATCAGGCAGCAGCAGAGACCAAAAAAAAAAAGCATGTACAGTACAGTATTGTGTTAAATGTAAAGTACTCAAAAAATAAAAGGGAAAGCAGCATTTTTCTTCTGCACAGTAACATTTCAAAGCTGTATTAAGTCAATGTTCAGTTGTAAACTTCTGGAAGAACAATAATGTTTTCTTTAGAGTTAGAAACATTTCAGAGTGATGAACAAGCTCCTTTCCCGAGGTGTTTGTAACTCTGAGGTTCTACTGTAGATCATTTATATTGGTAGTAGTGTTATATAGAAGAACTTCAAACCATGCCTCAAAAAGCTGGGAAAACATTATTATTGCCGTTTCACATATGGGGAAAATGGAGGCATGAGGAAAGTCAAGTGACTTGTCTAAGGTCACACAGCAAGCCAGCGATAGGCAGGGGAACAGAACCCAGATGTTATGCTTCTGTGGCCTGTTCTCGCTAACCACTATACCACTGCCTCCCAAATGACAAGTGATTGCTTTACTTAGTATTTATATAGCAAAATATTAACAACTGATTAACCCCCAAACCCCCTTTGTAAGGTAAGTCATACTATCCCCACTGTGCAGATGGGGAGACAGAGGCACAGGCCCACAAAATGACTTGCCCAATGCTACACAGTGACAGAGTCAGGATTAGAAGTCACACTCTTCCAATGCCCAAGCCCATGCTCATTCCTCCAGACCACCTACCTTCAACACATTTACACTGTAAACAGACAAGCAGAGTAAAACCCAATCCCACCATGTGTGAAAGTTTCTCCACCATCTTTTTTAAGAAAATGTATTTTAACATCATGGAGGGAAGAGTTTGGTGAAAGACATCTGTGACAAAAGGAAAGGCTGTACCTACTATGTAGGTTGCAGTCAGCAGGTTATTACTTTACATTATTACAGTAAAATACTTGGAAAACTAACCATTCCATAAAAATTGGGCTAATTTTACAAAGTAATTGAACTTTTTTTAGTTAATGGCATTTTGTATATAGTTTACAATAATTAAAATTAAACTGGAGAAAAGATTAAAGGAGGGATTGCAGTGGTTTACAACCAGCATTCATTTTTGGTAGAGAGCAGCAGAAATAAGTGCCATTTGTTGGAAACATTCTGATGTGTGCTGCTGTTTGTCTAGCAGCGTTAGAAACAATACCTGCAATTAGTAACTTCACAAACTGATCGCACTGTGAACATAGTGCTGGTAAAAGCATATTAAAAATTGTAACTGCAGTCATTCTGTAAATTATGAATGCCCTAAGTAGTCACCAATGAACTACATAGGTTAAAGGGTTTTGACAGGAATGGAGAGGTGTTTATTTTGATCATTATTCAGAAATTGTCTTTGAAAATTCTATTTACAGACATCATTTTTGGTTAAGATAAAATGCATTATCTGTTCTCTCTTTAATAGCCAATACATCCCATCAGACCTAGGCAAGAGGAATTAAGTAACTGGTCTAAATTCATCTCTGAATTTAATAATTCAAACAAAAACTGTCCTACCTAACCTGGTATCTGTAGGATTTTAGGAGTTCAGATACTATGGGAATGAGAAGCAGTATAAGATAAAAGTGTCTCAATTTTTTTTTAAACTGGGTTGTGTTGATTTTACAATGAAACAAATAACTTAATACTTACTTTTGGTTGGTTTGTTAGAGCAAGGCGGGCTTTACATTTCAGAAGCTATTCATAGAGCAAAGATTGAAGTGACAGAAGAAGGAGCGAAAGCATCAGGAGCTACAGGTAAATCAGACATACAAACTTCAGTAATATTCTGCATCTGAGCCATATCATAGCAGTAACAAATGTTAAATCAGGGCCTTTAATTATAACAAGGAATTTACACATGCTTAAACCCATCCCTATTCAGCAAGGCACACAAGAATGTGCTTTATTGAAGCCCTATTAACTCCAAAGATAAAAATACCCCTATGTGCTTTGATGAATCAGGCCCACATTTAAGAAACCGTTTCCATTCTACCTCCTATTTGCAGTTGCTCAGAACTTTAAAACATTTTCCTTTTCAAGTTTAGTCTGGCAACAGGGGATGGTTGTGTTTTCCTCAAACTATCTATTTTTCAGATTAGCAAGCGTTGAAGAACTACCAGCACCCAAAAACATCTTTTTTTAATTCAAACCTTCTATTATGCTCAAGTAACTGTACTGAAAGACAATTGACACAGGCGTCATTTGCTGTGGGGCAAGGAGGACCGTTAGTGCCTCCTCCACTCCTATTTTTAATAGGTGGATAGATTCCATTAGGCCTTCCACTCCCCACCCTCCCCGCAACTTTGCAGGATGTAATATAATCATGTATACTGTTCCATGTGCTGGTACAACATTGTCACCCTCTCCCAATTTTTCTGAGATGATGCCCTTGGCAACTGACCTTCCACGTTTGGCTTATAGAGCCAGTGTTTTGAGGAAAATACAACAATAATGTTAAAGTTAAGGATTTGAAGTTTCATCTTTGTGCACGCTTTGCAGATTTAGTTTCTCATTTGATTTGGAGTCGCATTTCCCATGTGCAACAGTTTCTGGGGGCAGATGGAATTTTACATTAAAGGAAAATGTTTTCTATGCAAAATCCTACCTTCCAGCAAAGATTGTGGTTTAAATTAATGGCTTTTTTTTGTAAGACATAAATATGAAAAACTATTGACATGTAAATAGAAAACCATACATTATTATCTGAATGTCGAAAATTTTAAAATAGTGAGATTCAAAAGTTAATTGTCCTCAATTCCTGCTCCATCCTCTTTTTGCCACAAAAGCCCTACCACGGCATCTGGGGATTCTCCTTGCATATGGGAATATCCAGGTGGCATAGAGATGGCACATTCATGTCTATGCCACTCGCTGCTGTCTATCCCAACTCAGGGGATGTGTTGGTAGAATACCTGGAACATGCTGCAGCTTTTTAATCCTGGACTAGAATACTCTGAAGGTGCTTCATCTTGTGGAGGGACTAATTTGGTCCCCAGCTGCTATGGAAATGAGGGGAACATAAAGGCTGCTTTAAAACGTGTGTTTCCAGTCTACGCCCCTTGTGTCTAGTGCTAAGCATTGCTCAACCACACTTAAGGATCTGGCTCAATAGGTCTGTAGTCGGATTACCTTGATGCTAGTGTCTGTATGCACACTATATAATTAACTTTGCTGTGGAGAAAAAGATTTTGAGTTCCTTGACTTAAATTCTCATCCTTATTGGTAAACTAACACACCTGTAATGTTTCCAATAAAATCCTCTATAGAAGATTCAAGTCATCTTATACTTATAACGTTTACATATCAAAGACTAAGTATAACTGCAATCAGCAGAAATAGCACCCAGTCCTAGTCCCACTGAAGTCAATGACGGCAGTCCCATTAATTTCAGCAGGAGGCAGCCCACTGAAAAGAACTGCTTTTCAGAAATAGAGATTGGGTTCAGGAAAGGCTGGAAAAATAGGAAGGTAATCTGTCATAGAATCCTAGAAATGTAGGGCTGGAGGGACCTCAAGAAGTCATCAAATTCACCCCCCTGCACTGTGGCACGACCAGGTATACTTACACCATCCCTTGACAGGAACTTGGCCAGCCTGGATTTTTAAAACCTCTAATGATGGCGAGTCCAAAACCTCCTTTGGAAGCTTATTCCAGGGTTTAACTACCCTTAAAGTTAGAAAGTATTTCCTAATATCTAACCTAAATCTCCTTTACTGCAGATTAAGTCCATTACTTTTTATCCTACATTCAGTGAACATGGAGAACAACTGATCATTGTCCTCTTAATAACAGCCCTTAACATACTTGAAGATTTATCAGGTCCCCCTCAGTCTTTTCTCAAGACTACATGTGCCCCCCCCTTTTTTAAACTTATCTTCAAAAGTCACATTTTCTAAATCTTTTACCATTTTTGTTGCTCTCCTCGACTCTCTGCCGTTTGCCCACAAACCTATATAGCCTCAAGTGCGGTGCCTAGAATGGGATGCAGTACTCCAGTTAAGGCCTCACCAGTGCCAATTACTTCTTATATCTTACATACAACATTCCAGTTACTACACACCAGAATATTAGCCTTTTCTGCAGCTGCATAACATTGCTGACTCTCATCCAATTTGTCATGAATTATAACCCTCAGATCTTGTTCAGCAGTACTATTACCTACCCAATTATTCCCCATGTTGTAGTTGTGCATTTGATTTTTCAAATGTGGAGGCTGCAAAGAGAGCAATAGGGCCAGGACCAGAATATTTGTCAGCTTAGCACTGCACATATTCAGGGTAGTGCCATCTGCTTTCCTCTACACACACACTCTCTCTCCAATCCCAAATGTGGTCAGCTTGATAGTGTTTTTGCCACTGTTCTTTTCTATCACTCTGTCTTCTACCTGGTTAACTTTCTCTTTAGCCACCAAGGTGTTCTCTTCTCTTCCTCCTGTACTCCACTGCTAGAGCAGTCACGGCTGGTTTTAACATGTTTATAGCTACATGCAATTGTACAAGATTTGGTTACTTAAAAACCTGGAAAATCTAGTCATACATTTTATTGAAAAGAAAAATTTGGAAATAATTAGATTGGGAGACAGAAGGAAATCATTCTAAATCAAACTAGATTTGTTACATATTTTTAATATATATCTTGGATTAAAATTATTTTTGGCAAATGGTTTTATCCTAAAAAGCCTACAAATGCGTTAATTTTTGGTCAGTGTATTAATTACACTACGTAGCTACCTAGAAATGTATTTGGGAAATTATTAGGGCTCTCAAGCGATTAAAAAAATTGATCACAATTAATTAGGCTGTTAATAATAGGATACCATTTATTTAAATATTTTGGGGAGTTTTCTACATTTTCAAATATATTGATTTAAATTACAACAGAAACAGAACAAAGTGCACAGTGCTCACTTTATATTTATTTTTATTACAAATATTTGCACTGTAAAAAACCAAAAGAAATAGTATTTTTCAATTCCCCCATTTCAAGTACAGTACTGTAGTGCAATCTCTTTATCATGAAAGTTGAAAGAAGTGTAGAATTATGTACAAAAAAATAGCTCCATTCAAAAATAAAACAATGTAAAACTTTAGAGCAGGGGTGGGCAAACTTTTTAGCCTGAGAACCACATCTGGGTATGGAAATTGTATGGTGAGCCATGAATGCTCACAAAATTGGGGGTTAGGGGTCCGAACTCCGGCTGGGGGTGCAGGCTCTGGGGTGGGGCCGGAAATGAGTTCAGGGTGCAGGAGGGGACTCTGGGGTGGGACAGTGGGTTAGGGTATGAGGAGGAAGTGTGGGCTCTGGCTGAGGGGTGTGGGCTCTGGGGTGGGGCTGAGGAGTTGGGGGTGCAGGAGAGTGCTCCAAGCTGGGACCAAGGGGTTAGGAGGGCAGGAGGGGGATCAGGGCTGGAGCAGGGACTTGGGGGACAGAAGGGGATCAAGGGTGTAGGCTCCGGGTGGCGCTTACCTGAAGCAGCTCCTGGAAGCAGCGCCATGTCCCCACTCTGGCTCCTAGGCAGAGGCACAGCCATGTAGCTCTGCACGTTGCCCCGTCTACAGGCGCCACCCCTGCAGCTCCCATTGGCCGTAGTTCCCAGCCAATGGGAGCTGTGGGATGGTGCTTGGGGCAGGGGCAGCATGCAGAGCCCCCGGCTGCCCCCCCTACGCATAGGAGCCAGAGCGGGGACATGCCCCTGCTTCTGGGAGCTATGCGGAGCCATGACACATGTGGACTGGGCAAGCCCCCAACCCCGCTCGCCAGCAGGAGCTCAAGGGCCGGATTAAAATGTCTGAAGGGCTGCCTACGGCCCCTGGGCTGTAGTTTGCCCACCCCTAATTTAGAGCCTACAAGTCCACTCAGTCCTACTTCAGCCAATCACTCAAACAAACAAGTTCGGTTACAATTTGCAGGAGATAATGCTGCCCGCTTCTTGTTTGCAATGTCACCAGAAAGCGAGAACAGGCTTTCACATGGCACTGTTGTAGCCAGTGACGCAAGATAGTTATATGCCAGATGTGCTAAAAATTCATATGTCCCTTCATGCTTCAACACCATTCCAGAGGACATGTGTCCATGCTGATGATGGGTTCTGCTCAATAACAATCCAAAGCAGAGCGGACCAACGCATGTTCATTTTCATCATCTCAGTCAGATGCCACAAGCAGGTTTTCTTTTTTGGTGTTTTGGGTTCTGTAGTTTCCCCATCTGAGTGTTGCTCTTTTAAGACTTCTGAAAGCATGCTCCACACCTCATCCCTCTCAGATTTTGGACGGCACTTCAGATTCTTAAACCTTGGGTCAAGTGCTGTAGCTATTTTTAGAAATCTCACATTAGTACCTTCTTTGCATTTTGTCAAATCTGCAGTGACAGCGTTATTAAAACGAACATGTTCTGGGTCATTATCCGAGACTGCTATAACATGAAATATATGGCCGAAAGTGGGTAAAACAGAACAGGAGACATGCAATTCTCCCTCAAGGAGTTCAGTCACAAATTTAATTAATGCATTATTTTTTTAACAAGCATCATCAGAATGAAAGCATGTCCTCTGGAATGGTGGCTGAAGCATGAAGGGACATACAAATGTTTAGAATATCTGGAACGTAAATACCTTGCAACGTCGGTTATAAAAGTGCCATGTGAACACCTGTTCTCACTTTCATGTGACATTGTAAATATAAGCAGGCAGCAGTATCCCCCATAAATGTAAACAAACTTGTTTGTTTTAGTGATTGGCAGAATAAGAAGTAGGACCTGAGTGGACTTGTAGGCTCTAAATGTTTTTTTTTTTTTTTTTGGAGTGCAGTTATGTAACAAAAAAAAATCTACATTTGTAAGTTACACTTTCACAATAAAGATATTGCACTACGTGTATGAGGTGAATTGAAAAATACTATAAAAAGAAAAGGAGTACTTGTGGCACCTTAGAGACTAACCAATTTATTTGAGCATGAGCTTTCGTGAGCTACAGCTCACTTCATCAGATGCAGTGAGCTGTAGCTCACGAAAGCTCATGCTCAAATAAATTGGTTAGTCTCTAAGGTGCCACAAGTACTCCTTTTCTTTTTGCGAATACAGACTAACACGGCTGTTACTCTGAAACCTGAAAAATACTATTTCTTTTATAATTTTTACAGTGAATATATTTGTAATAAAAATAAAGTGAGTACTGTATATTTGAAAATGTAGAAAAACATCCAAAAATATTTAATAAATTTCAGTTGGTATTCTATTAACAGTGCGATTAATCGTGATTAATTTTTTCGTTAATCGTGTGAGTTAACTGCGATTAATTGACAGCCATATCAATTATATTTAAACAGGGTTTTTATAACTTTAAAAATGTAAGTTAAATAGATAGTAACAAAATAACTGCAGAGTGGAAGCAGTCTTATAGTTCAGGGACTGCACTGGGATTCAGGAGAGTAGGGTTCAATTCAGAGGGGTCTGCCATAAGCTTCCAGTGTGATCTTGGGCAGATCACTTCATCTCTGTGTGCCTGTGTTTCCCATCTGCAAAAAGGGGAGAATTTGCATCATTTGTCAACTTACCGTAAACTCTATCTCTATGCACACATGGTTATGAACAGGGCAAGTGGTGCAGTAGTGTCTTGACCGGGTGTTAGTACTAGCAACAAAAAAATATCAGTGGTGAGTCTTAAAACTCAAAGGCAAGCAGGAGTAATTACTCAGTGAGTAGACAGCACTACATTACCTGTGTAATTCATCCTTGCAAACTTTTACTTGCTTGTTCACCTGGGGTGATTTTTTTCTGCTGGTTAATTAAACATTACATTTATTTTTATCACAGTAAGGGCAGATGAATAATTTGATGGTTAGGGTAGTAAAAACCTGAGTTTTTTGAGGGTGCTCTATAGAAGAGAAGGCAAAACTGAAACTGACACGTGAATGTTCTCTCTCTTGCATGGCAGCTATGGTGCTACTAAAAAGATCTCGAACTCCTATTTTCAAAGCAGACAGACCTTTCATCTTTTTCCTAAGGCACGCCAATACAGGTACACATAATTCATTTGTTCAGTATAGGAGTCACTCACTTAACAGTAAAAAAATCTTATGAGTGTGTCCCATAAATAAATAAGGCGCTATTCTCTAAAATGACTTCAATTTCCATAAAACTCCTTTAAAAACAATCTGTAGAATAAATTTTCAACTACAAACAGTGGAAGCAGAAAAATTGACAATCATGGGAATTCAGTTAGACTGTTCTTCAGCATAAATTTAGTAACCAAAGGCACTCTGATGGCCCTGGGGACTAACATCCATTTATCCATATACAAAGAATGGAAAGGTAAAGCACATGCAGGGGCAGTACAAGTTTCTCCTCTCCTGTCCTGCCTCTATGACTCAAATCTAAGCATCTCCTGATCTGGAGAGGCATGGGGCCTAATCTGTCCTGCCACTGCTTTGTGTCTTGCCGAGACAAGCAAGAAAGTTGCCACTTGTAAGTATTAAAAGTGTCTTTACTGAGCAAATTGAACAAAAAAAAATAAAACTTACTATACTCAACTATGCACTTAATAGGATGAAAATTGGACTGTAAAATACAAATTTAGAGAAATCAAGTAGAGCAAGAAAGAAACCACAGACAGCATTCTAATCAGAATAGCACCAGAAACAGTCATATAGTATTGCAAATCACATTTTTTTTTCTATTTATCATAAAAAAGTGTAAAAATATACATTTGTTTTTGGTAGAAGTCTGTCTTCTTTGGGGAGGGGAAAAGAGTAAATAAAGCTACTATTAAAAATACTGATGTTTAATGTTTGGTTTATTATCCATTTGGGAGGCAGCAAGCTCCAAACTCCTACCACCTGCAAGTTAGGTCTCACTACAGAACAAAAGCCCAGAAACTCTCCCCTCATATTTATATTCTGCAATGTGCTAGGCACTTTCCAAAGACTTCAGAAAATATAGCCCTTGACCCAATTATGGTACAGTTAAGAGCACCACCGTCTTCTCTGAAATTCAACTTCAGAACAGATCTGTCTAGAGAAAAAAAGACAAGCTGATAAACTGAAATGCGATGATATCTTAAGTGATTTAAAGCATAGATGAATTATGAATCTAATGAGGCAGTAACCCAATGGGCCAAATCCATCTCTGCTGTAACTCTAGTACATATACATAGGAATGAATCTGACCCATTACTATTTGGTCAAGTTCAAAGCCATTTTCATTTTGGCCAAGATTTAATCATACTAGATAAGGAAGCTTCTTGTTCAGCTGCCAACCCTTTAATAAGCAACTGAATCTAATGTGCAAATTAACAAATTAATCTGGCCCTTAACTGGTTTCACAAACTTTTAAAAATGCAAGAGTTACTGCAATTGGACCCACAAAACCAGTATTTGCATGTATGTGACCATCTGACAGTTAACCAACAAGTTGCATGTAAAAATTAGGTGCACAATTACATGTATACACTTTTTGCAAGTTAGGCCATGAGTGTTTGAGTGTGCAATTTTAATGAAGTGTTTATTTTAATTCACAGGTTCAGTGCTCTTTATAGGAAGAGTTACAAATCCCTCAGAATAAGTGTGTCCAATGCACCCTCCCCTTATTCCTTCTGCAGCCATCTTTCCTTCAGTGAGATTGAGGCACACTATGAATATTTATTAAAAACTGGATACTTAAAAGTATTTTGCAAAAAATCCACAAGAGCGGATAAATGTTTAACCAAATAATCTTATAAATAAAAATGTGTTACTTTTGCATTTTGTGTAGTGTGCTTTTATTTTGTTGCTGTATAAAAGCATCTTTTACTCTTTTTAAAAAATGGTTGGAGTCACAAGGTAACAGGACACTAGCTAAAACCAACAGAATGTATTAGTTACTTGTGTTCTTTGCTCACAAGACAATCAGCTGAGAGGAGGCAATACCAACCCACCACAAAGCTTTACATTATCTGCTATTTTTCAAGTGGTGGTTTATTTTCTGCTCCTGAAATTAAAATTTTAAACAAAAAATTAAAAACTGAATTAGGTTCCAGAATCAGTTACATTATCAAGCTGAAGTGCTGAGGTAAACAAGCAGCCTGAAGTGCATCCAAGAAATAATCCAGCTGAGAGACAGGCTGTTAAGGATTTGGCACCAAGACACCAGAGTACAAGCCCACTGGGGACTCTATGTACCTGAGTTGCTAATCTGAGCCACCACGTCTACACTACTGTTGTCACCTGGTTGAGCTAAATTAAAGCTAACAGCACAGGTAAGCATACCTGTGCTACACTCACACCTTCACTTGTAGTAGACATAGTCTGAGTGTCTCTACTCACCTAAACTGAATCAGTACCACCACATACATTACTTCCAATGCAGACTTTACAGCAAAAAAATTCTCTTTTACTTTACAGTGCAGGGCCTGGGAAGGGAGAGAGGGTTAGGTACACAAGCAGCCTCGTTAAGGAGCAAAGGATAAGGTTGGCATAACTGGAAGGATGGTTAAATCTCAAAGAAAAATTAAATAATCCCACATTTTGCCATTTCTCTGGTGTGAATACAGTACATGAGATCTGTGACGCTGTTCAGTAAAAATAAGACTTAGAATACATGATGCTATGCCAACTTATCACCATAACTATGTGGCCAAATGGCAGCTTTCTTAGTTTCTTTTCATAATTTATATCTTATTCTGAGAACCAAGGAGTCAGCATTTCCAATGAGGCTTAAAATTGTAGCTGGTTCCTCAAAACTGACAATAAAACTGTAAATCTAAAAAGGGGAGGAGAGAAATGAGCCACTTCAGTGAAAACTGTACTCATTCCTAACCACCAAAGATTAAAATAGAGGGCTTTTTATTGATGGAATAACAAAAGTGCTTTTTTTAAATATTTTTCAAAATACATTTGTACAACTTACAATAATATATCCAAAATAACTGTATATACAAAACATTACCTTGTTTAATGTATGTGCTTTTCTTGAAATTACAAAGCAACTTTTTTACCTTTTTTTTTTTTTTGGCAAAGTTCAACCTTAACAGAGATGATAGTTTTGAAGGTTGGGTTAAGAAAATAGAACCTGAGGGAAAGTGACATTTACGTCAATGACAAGCAAGAAATTCTCTGTTCTTAGTTTGTTAAATAAAAATGCTTTTAGTGACATTTTTCACATTACAAAAATAACAAATGAAGAAAAAGATTACATATACTTTTTCCATCATACTAGAGGGCAGCTTTTAGTCTTTCAGATAGGGTACTTGAGCCAAGAGTGCATGTCAAAAATGAATGCAGGTAATACAGCCGTGCCCTACTGTGGCTTTTCGATGTGTAAAACGTCTCTTAGCTGCTGTTGATATGGTTAACTTGGTTGGATCTGCGATGGATTTCTTCCAGAAAACCCTCAAGCTGTTCTATCAGCATTCGTTTTTTAAACCTGAACGGAAAAGGAAGTATAAAAATAATGCTGTTAATATTAAACTGACAGTGTAAAGAAATGGAATTTTCAAAACTAGACCTTAACTCTGAAAACTTTTCACTACATACATCAGAGGTTCACTGTATATGCACTCTTGTCTGTAGAAGTTCTGGCAAGCTACTGTCATAGCACAATTATTTATTCTGACGCTCTTTCCTGTGTATGTATTCACTGACAAAAACTTAATTAACAGAGTCAAGATTATCCAGCGATACCATGTGCCTTTCCAGAACGTTGAAGTCAGCAAAACTCAAACCTCTAAAAACCAGGAAATACAGAATTAACATATATGCCAATGCAACCTTAACTCTACACTCTGAGCAATGACCAAATACATCCATAATGCACATATCTGCACAGTGCCTTTGCAGACACTGTAGAATGCTCGGGGAATAGGCACATGACCAATGTAGGACACAACTGTACTGAACAGGAGATACCTATATTTAAGCCCACTCCATAGAAATACCCCTGCTGCTGAATTTTACAATTTCAGTCCCTTTTACGAACACTTTCACCCTTATGCACAAGACGCTATTTAACACACTTTCACTCACCCCCCCCCATTAAACCCACAGACCACTCGTATCCTGCCTCATTGTGGACATTCCCCATAGCAGTAAGTCCCTAGTGCACAGCTACTAACACAACCTTCCAAACTCATTGCTAAAAGGAGCATATTGGATCTCAATAGGTACACATGTACCGCTTTCCTTTATTCACACACAGAGGGGGACAAAGACAGGGGTGCAGAAGTCCCTAGGATCTCACATCACAATCAAGCTCTGCCGTACTGCACCAACCAATCCTCTAAACATTCAGTACAGCTACACCTGGTGTGCATGTAGATAATTCCCATTGGCTACTACCAGCTCCAGGGCAGCAGAGTTAAGGTTTTGCTGGCATGCACATTAATTCTATATTCCTTGGTTTTCAGAAGTTAGAGTTTTGCTGAACTCTGTTTTCTAGAAGGGCACAAGATACTCCTGAGATAATGACAGGTTTCAGAGTAGCAGCCGTGTTAGTCTGTATTCACAAAAAGAAAAGCAGTACTTGTGGCACCTTAGAGACTAACCAATTTATTTGAGCATAAGCTTTCGTGAGCTACAGCTCACTTCATCGGATGCATTTTCCACTGAATGCATCTGATGAAATGAGCTGTAGCTCACAAAAGCTTATGCTCAAATAAATTGGTTAGTCTCTAAGGTGCCACAAGTACTCCTTTTCTTTTTCCTGAGATAATGCTTAGACTTCATACCACTGCTCCAGCATTCCCTCCATTATACCATTGTTCTGACCTCAGCTCCTCACATCCTACTGATTTGAAACCCATTCCCCTATTGCCCTTTCCCCTCCTCCCCCACACAGCAGCTTCACCCTTCTCCACACCCCTGGCTTTGTAGGGGTGGGAAGGTGGTGTGTCTGTGAAGTGCCCATATCAGCTGTAAGCAGGAAAAGAGAGTAGAAAGAAAAAATCCCTGTGAATCTGGGCCTAGTGTGTGGGGAAGGGGCTCTACATATCCATCTGCAGCACAGGAAGCTCAGACAGGTGTGAAGTGGCCCATTCATCTCAATGAGATGTTCTGCGCTGAATGAGAACACTCCATGAAGAAAGCTCTGAGACATGTAAACTGTTCCATTTATCTCAATAGGTATTTCCGTCCCCACTTTTCAGTGACAGTGCTATGAGTCTGTGATACGCACCGAGCATGCCTATTCCCAACTCCTGGCCTTGGTCTCAGCACTATGTGCTTGGTGCATGTTCCAAGCATGCCTATTCTCAGCTTCCCATCCAGGGGGGCAGCCACATCATGCACTACCCACCCGCCAATTCCAGCACGTGCGCACGCACACACACGGCAGGGAAAGGAGTTAGGACCCCTCAGAGAGTCAAGGCTCCCATGTATCTGGGTTTGACATGAGGGGCAGGCAGAGGAGCTCAGATCCCCTCAGAGGGGCAGCCCGACCCTTCAGCAGAGTTCTTCCAACATGGCTGAAACTTTTCAACAACCAATTATTAGCAGTAAGACAACAACTTAATAACAATCAATTTAAGGCAAAAATTATATGTTTAAGTCTCACTTTAGAGAAAATTTTCAGTTTGTATTCTGGTCACTTTCCAGACCACTGGGGTGAGTTAAATAAGGAGAGAGGCTGCTAACAGAAAGAAATCTTATTTTGCTACACAGCTTCTCTAGATGAAACTGAAACCACAGGGAAACCATTGGGTGAGGCTTTAAAGGAATATTCCTACCAGAACCCATGTTGGGGTGGGTGATTTCTGGTAGGTTTATTAGCATGCTTGTAGATTTTATTGTTTTCTCTGTAGTGCTTTTATTTTAATCAAATATGCTTGCTTAGAAGAACCGTGAGATAGCTTAACTGTGGACAGTTACACTACTAGTCTCTGAAGAGAAAGCAAGCAGGTCTGTTTAGAAAGTCTATGCTGCTGGGAATAACAGTGAAGGCAGGGAACTGTTTAACCTGTCAAAAAGGAGAGAGATACATGTTTCTACACAAGAAAGGCAATGGGTAGAGAACCAGAAGCCTGAGAATGGGTGCTCTTGCTGAACCACTAATGGGAATCAGATGTAGTTGCCCTGACCTGTGACTTTTCAGCTTGGAAAAAGAGACAACTGGAGGGGTGGGAGGGGGGTGGGGGGAGAGAGATGATAGAAATCTATAAAATCGTAACTGGTGTAGAGAAAGTAAATAAGAAAGTGTTATTTACTCCTTCTAATACAAGAACTAACGGTCACCACATGAAATTAATAGGCAGCAGGTTCAAAACAAAAGGAAGTATTTCTTCACACAAATGCACAACCTATAAAACTTTTTGCCAGAGGATGTTGTGAAGGCCAAGACTATCACGGTTCAAAAAAGAACTAGATAAGTTCATGGAGGACAAGTCCATCAACAGCTATTAGCCAGGATGGGCAGGTGTGACACAGGGCCAGAAAGGGTTAAGTAACTTGTAGGCTAAATGACCCTAATTCAACCTTTAAAGACATATTAGAGAAGTATATAAATGGTAATTAGGGCTATTCCTTATAAATAGCTAACACAGCCATGTTAGACTAGAACTTTGAAATGTAAACGTGTATTATTAGAGAATGAGAGGTAATACTAATTTTATGGTTTCAGAGTAACAGCCGTGTTAGTCTGTATTCGCAAAAAGAAAAGGAGTACTTGTGGCACCTTAGAGACTAACCAATTTATTTGAGCATAAGCTTTCGTGAGCTACAGCTCACTTCATCTGATACAGTGAGCTGTAGCTCACGAAAGCTTATGCTCAAATAAATTGGTTAGTCTCTAAGGTGCCACAAGTACTCCTTTTCTTTTTGTGAACCTAGGGACTAATTCTGAAAGAACTCTTTGCAACTCTACACCTCATCATCTCTACTAAGAGACTGATCTAAGAACTATATTCACATCTGTATGTATGTCTTTTAACCAGTACTCAGCTCTCTTTTTAAATAAATTTTAGTTTAGTTAATAAGAATTGACTGTAAGCATGTATTTGGGTAAGAACTGAAATATTAACTGGCATTGATAGAACTTTTTCATATGATGAAAAAGTTTTTTCAATAATCCTCATTATATTTGACTTGGCTGTCTGGGAGGAAGCAACAAGGCTGGGTTGCTTTAAGGGAACTGTGTTATTGGCTTCTGGGTAACAAGTAAGGCATTATAGAAGCTGTTTTGTTACTAGCTTGGTATTCTTGAGACACATCTTTAGAGCCCTCAGAATACCCATTTATACCACAACCTTCCAAAGGAGGTCTAAGGGTTAGAACAAAACAATGGGAGAACTATGGGCTTGTCTTCACTATGGGGAAATCAACACTGCTGCAATCGCCGCAGCAGGGGTCAATTTAGCAGGTCTAACGAAGACCTGCTGAATTGACGGCAGAGTGCTGTCCGGTCGACCCCAGTACTCAGTAGCGTAGCTTGGGGAGGAGCGGGGCAGTGGCCACTCCCCCACAGAGCACAAGTTGCGCCTTTAAAAAATTTTTGCGCCTTTTGAATTTTTATTCACCCAGCGGCGCTCTGGGTCTTCGGCGGCGGGTCAGGCAGCACTCCGGGTCTTCATTTGCTCCGGTCTTCGGCGGCATTTCGGTGGCGGGCATCCTTCAGTGCCACCGAAGACCGGAGCGAGTGAAGAACCCGACGCCGAAGTGCCGCTGAAGACCCAGAGCACTGCCAGGTGAGTACAAGTGGGTGGTGCCTTTTTTATCTCCACTCCCCCTGTTTTCTCCACCTGGCTACGCCACTGCTAGTACTCCAGCTGTCTGAGAAGAGAAAGGGAAGTTCACTGGAGAGAGTCTCCCATCGACCCAGCACAGTGGAGACACCGGTGTAAGTCGACCTAAGCTACGTTGACTCCAGCTACACTATTCACGTAGCTGGAGTAGTGTAACTTAGGTCGACAAGCAATATGTCCCAGGAACTGCGGAAAGAGGAACTCCCCTTAAACAAAGGTGTCTGGAGCTATAAGAATAACCTTTTCCTCATGTCAACCACGATGGAGTTCTTGTATAGCGGAGAGGCCAGAGCCCCACTGTGCTGGGCCTTGTGCAAACAAAGAAGCAGTCCCTGCCTCCAGAGCTTTGTTTCCTCTTGCACCAGAAACCTAAGTTTGACCAGATCAATGAATGCAATTTCCTGATTGAGTTCTGTCTAGATACCAAAATGTATGAAGAAGCTAATGGAAAATCCATACTAAACTACATTTCTCTTCCAGTAGCCAGGTAGTTAACTGTAGCTGTTCCTAGTCCAGACAAAGGAGTCCATACTTCAAGAGGAGGTCTGGTCCTTACTACAAGTGACTTCTGGGGTAGCATTGGAAGAGGAATTCAATTCTCCCCTTTCCTGTAGCCTTTATGTTAACTGTCTTGAAAGGTAACAGATTCTTCTCCGTCCAGGACATTATTTCCACTGGCCTGGAAATGTTTGTC